TGCTCAACTGCTCCGCCGGCGACATGTTGCGCAAAAGAACTCCGTACGCCATCAGGGACTCGTTGTAGTACCTTGTCCTGGCGTCGTCGGTATCTTCAGCAGGTTTCGCGTAGCTACCGTCGAAGTAATGGAATATTTGTGCGTTTTGTAGCAGAAGCTCCAGCTCGAAGCTCCAGGTATAGAAATCTCTGCCGTCAAAGCAGACACTTGTCTTTATTTTTTATATGCTGAGAAATTTTGATTGCGCAGAGAGAATTGCTTCTTCACCGGGACGGGAAGTCTTGGAGGTTGAGCCATTTGTGTCAAGGGAGAAGGTGTGCGGGGCGACGTTCTGGCCGTTTGGGGCCGGTTGAGAGGGTTGCGAGGATGTTCCCGTGTAGCCAGCTCGCAATGTCTGGAGTCCTTGCTCCAGGCTGGTGAGTCGGTGAAGCTGTTGTGCGAGGACGGCGATTCCTATCGTCGTCGTTTCTTCACTCGTTCCAGGTTGGGTTGGGTTGCGCTTCATCCGTCAGATTCTTCTGACCACCAGATCCTCCGGCCATTCTCACACGCGAGCGTGTGCCGGACGCCACTTTCCGTTTGTTGAAGGTTTCGGAGGTGGCAGTGCGTAGGATTCCAAAGTCGCTCTCATACCATGCTTCGACCAGAGATTGATCGACCCTGAGATCACCTCGGGAGGTTCGCACGCAGCTAGATTGGTAGTGGTGGGCCCTTGACCTCAATAGCAGAGTGAATATAAAATGCTTGAGATGGATTAAAACATGCAGATACAGAGAATATAAATAGTGGTACAGGGGAATATGAAGCGACCTAGCTAGCCATGCACTCTAAGGGGTACATTCCCTTATTACAGCGAAACTTAACCGTGCGACTCCAGAAAATTACGAAACTGTCGCGTCTGGATCCTCGCCGCTGCTGCTGCCAGGTGCTGTCTGCCCGACGGTCCAGATCCTCTTCGTAACCGTACGGCCCTTCGCGTCACTTCCGTCTTTTCGTCTCCATCCTCAGTACTGCGTGCTTCGATTGCTGCGGTTAGGAGTGTACAGTGATGTTTCAATCATTACTATTCGTCACAATAACAACAATATCCAGTACAAAGTCGCTGAATAACCAGCTTGTGTATAGTTTGTGAATATGAGTTTGCCAACAGTCTTATATCTATAGATAATCTCAGCTCACCAGTGTTAGTGTTGTGTGCTATTATGCCTAGGGCCTTATTGGTGTTGTGTAATTCCAGGGTTGAGACCTGGCCCAGCCCATGTATCGAGGAGGTGTGAATCACGGTGATTGGTTGTGAAGTTGTTTGACCCCAACCAAGGGCGTCACGAGCCGCGAGTCGCGACTTTGGGAACGTTGCCCCGAATCCCTTGGGCTTGGCATGGAGGTGCCAAGGGAGCAGAACACGACTGCCGTCGATCGGCGATGTACGGTGCGGATGTGTCAAATGGTGACTGTACAGAAGGGGTTTGGGCGACGGACCGACCCCCTCGGTTGTACCGCGTCGCATATGATAGAAAGGGTGACCGAGTGGGCTGCGGGGTCATTGTTCCACTTGCGACATCAGGTAATGTGCCTCCCCTTGGTCACTTTGGGAATGCCATCTCCCCCCTCGCAACAGCCATAAAGAAGCCATTTTCGCCACGACCCCTTCCATCTGCTGAGCTAACAACTCTCGTGCAAGTGTCTCTGAGCGACATCATCAGCAGCTCGTTCAACCGACTCTAGTAGTGCCTTACGTGCTTGAAAGAACTTCGGCTGAACTCTTTCGCTGTGACCTGCCGTCGCGATGGCTTCGATTCGTCGACTGCCGCTCATAGTGCTTGCCGTGGTGGTCTCGTTCCTCCTCCACACCGCGACCTCGGACCTCCTGCTGCGACCGGAGCGCGTGCCTCGCGCGCAGTTCCGCATCCGCTGCAACTTCAGCCACGCGTCCCGCAGTGACCCCATTGTTTTCCCTGGACAGCCCGGGAAATCGCACCTGCACGATTTTCTCGGCAGCAAGAAGACAAACGCCTTCACCACCGATGGTGAGTAATGCTACCGTTCACCAGTTCTTCCGTTTTTTTTTTTTTTTTTTTTTTTTTTTTTTTTTTTTGGTCCTTCCCTTATTTTGGTAAGGCAATCACGTAACATGCATCGTGCGACGTTATGCGACAGGAACGAAGCTGGTGGGCGGCGCGACGACGTGCGGACTGAAGGCGGACGCAGCCGCGTACTGGTTCCCGTCGGTCTTCATGCGCACCAATCAGAAGAACGCCAACGGGAAATACATCTACAAGCACGTAAGCTCATTCCTCGCTGAAACGTCTATTTACACCGTGAGCACATGACGCTCGCTCGCTACGTCGATCGAACAACAAAGCTCGAGAAGCAAAGACAGTTGTCAAAGCCCAATTGGACCCTCTTCTACTACTGCACGTCATCACTCTTAATCGCTCTTCCCTCTCCCCCCTCCCCCACCCCCTGTTTCCCCCCCTTCTATCCCCTTTCCCGCCCTCCTCCGTTCCCCTCCGCACCCCTCCGTCTTCCCCTCCTACTTTTGCACCAACAGTTAAAGCCCAACTGGACGCTTTTCTACTACCGCACGTCGGTCAAGAACCCCGAGACCATCAAGCCCTTCCCGCCGGGCTTCCGCATGCTCACCGGCAACCCCTTCGCTGGCAATGTGCGTTTTCTAGCTCTGTTGCCACACGCGAGCACGAACGTGATTGCTGTTGCACGCGAGCACGAACACCATTAGCATGAGCCGCACCGTTGGAGACTCTCGCAAGCTCACCGGCTATTCCTTCGCGAACAATGTGCGTTTCCGCCAGCTCTGCTGATGCTGCTGCTGCGCGCAGGCACGAACATGACTCCCGCTGCACGCGATTACGACCAACACTACTGCTGCACGCAAGCGCGCGCGAAAATGGTGGAACTCTGCTCGTGACTTCCTGGCATTTTTTTCAAGCCTTTCATTCGCTCATACTTCTCACCTCGCGGTTCCGAACTCCTAGTTTTAAATAAATTCGTGTCGCGCCCACGCGGCATGCCCTCTTTGTCCCCCCTTCTCTCCCTTTCTCCCTCCCTCCCTCCCCCCCCCTCCCCCCCCCCCCCCCCCCCCCCCCCCCCCCCCCCGCCCTCTCTTCCCCAACCCTGCGCGCACCCTCCCTTCCTCCCCCGTCTCCTCTTCCCCCTCCCCCTTCTTTTGATCCCTCTCACGCGCGCGCGACTGTTATTGCCTTGTTTTTTCCGCCATCGCAGAAACAAGCCAACGACATGGCGAACGTGGAGTGGTGGTGCGGCGCGCGCGGGACGCACTTCAACGACTTCCCGCACCAGAAGTGCCCCGAAGGAGACCAGCTGATCGCGAAAATCAATTTCCCCGTCTGCTGGGACGGTAAGAACATCGACAGCGCGGACCACCGAAGCCACGTGGTGCATATCCCGCTCAACACCACGTGTCCGAAATCGCATCCCGTGCCCCTTCCGCGAATCAGCATCAAGGTTTATTACCCAGTTAGCCACGATTTGGATTTGACGTGGCCGAAAGACGGTGTGAAGGGGAACCCCGCGGTCTATTTGTCAACGGTGCAGAGCGGTGGTACTGGGAGTCCGTATGAGTATCATAGCGATTTCATCAACGGGTGGGATCAAAAGGTTCTGACTCGCCTCGTTACGGACTGCATCAATAAGAATAAAAAGTGCCTGGTGCAGGAAGACAATGTGTAGGGAGGAGTGGGCTGAAAGGAGTTCGCTGTTTATGTTGGATGTGTGAGAATTTAGTGGTTGTATGAGGCTGTGTTCTTGTGCACCACAATCTAATAATCCAATAACGGATTTTGGTGGTGGGACCAAGAGCTGAAGAATGACGCAGCTGCTGTGTTGCGTTTATATTTGCATTGCCTTGATTATTGTAAAAGATTAACTGTAGGTAATACCTACAGTTAATACCTTATATGCATTAATAAGATACAGGGTATAAACACTGGAATCTCAACCAAAAGCAAAGCTGGCCAAGCAAGCAGCATAAGTGGAAGAGGAGCAGTGTTGCTGTGATCAACAGGAAATCACAGCATAACGATACCAAACCAGCCATTCCCCATTGACCAGAGCAACACCCCTACAATGCAGGTCTGCACTCAGCGAGCAAAGACACTAGCAAGGCTGGAAAAAAGGGGAGGAGGAACTGGATACTGGAGCTGCTCTGATCAACCGGGAATCACATTGTTGCGATGCCAAACCAACGATTCCCCGTTGACCAGAGCAACACCCCTACAATGCTATGCTGGTACGGTATGCACTCAGCCAGAGCAGGCACTAGCAAGTACATAACGAGGCAAGAGGAATCCACAGCAAATGATTTCTGCAGTATGAATCCACCCTCCATTGACCGCAAGAAAGCAACCCTCCATATGATATAGGTCTACACTCGACCAGAGCAGGGCTGATGGCACAGTTGCTGGCAGAGCTGCTGGCAGGACTGATGAAAGGGCTGATGACGAGGCAAGCTCAGTTCGCAGCAGCAGCAGGGAGATCAGTGATGCGGTGCCACTCCTAGTCCTCTGCCGCACTGCACCCAAACCCCCCCCCCCCCCCCCCCCCCCCCCCCCTCTCCTACCCCCCCTTCTTCCCCCCTCTCCACCCTTTGAACCGCACATCACGCTGGTCGGCATTCGGCAGGAGCAGAGGCACTGGCACGGCTGGTGAGGCGAGGCGAGTCAGCAGCAACAGCGGGGGAATCGGTATTGCAGTGCCACTCTCTGTCCGCCTCCCCTGCTGCACTGCCAAACCCGTCCCCCCTCCCATCCCCCCCCGTCCCCTCCCCCCCTTTCCCCTTGAATTGCACGTCACACTGGTGTGCATTCAGCAGGAGCAGAGCTGCTGGCAAGGCTGACAAGGCGAGCCGAGTGAGCAGCAACAGTGGGGGACTCCTCGTTGCAGTGTCACTCCCAGTCCGCCTCCCCTGCTGCACTGTCAACCCCAACCACCCACCCCTTCACAGCCCCTTCAACCGCACATCACAAGGGCCGGCACTCAGCAGGAGCAGAGCTGCTGGCAAGGCTGACTAGGCGAGCCGAGTCAGCAGCAACAGATGGGGAATCGTCATTGCGGTGCCACACCCAGTCCGCCTCTCCTGCTGCACTGCCATCGATCTTGAATAGGGCAAAGCCAAAGGAAGCTGCTCTGAAGGCAGACCACGCAGGCCTGGGGGAGACAAAGCTGAGAGGGGGAGAGGGGGCGTGGGGGAGGGAGGAAGGGAGGAGCATAAACATGGTGTTAACGCCAGTCCGCCTCCCCTGCTGCACTGCCATCGATCTTGAAGAGAGAAAAGCGAAAGGCGGCTTCTCTGAAGGCCGACCATGCAGGCTCGGGAGAAACGAAGCGGAGAGGGGAAAAAAACTTTCGAGGCGCCTCAAAAGATATCTGATGTTCCCAGGATATGACACGAAACTACCCAAATTCGAGACGTCTCAGGGTACACCTGAATTTTGAAGGGTAGAGGCTTACGATGTGTAACAGCACAGCTGACCTTCCTTGGGTACACACAGATCCTTTCTGCCACTCCCAACAGTGGTGTATATCTTTCAAGTCAGCTCAAGAGTAGCCTTGGTTTAAGCCCACTCGAAGTTACAACTATGTCACAATACAGTACAGCCAGCTTACCTTGGGTATAAGTCCTTCCCGCCACTCCCAACAGTGATGTGCATGATCCCACAGGGGTCCTCCTGACCGTTGTACACGCGGGTCTGAAGGGGTGGAAACAGGATGAAAATGGAGGTGAATTAAGAAAGACAATATCATCAAGCCAAAGAAACGGTGTACAACTTGGGTTGATGGGATAGGACGTGAATGATCCCACAGAAGCATTATAACCAAGCCAATACACGCTGTTACAGCGGTCGTTACAGCTGTCATTTCTATGGTACAACGGTCACCACAACTCATTGTTCATTCGTACACATGCACGTGACCAGTGATCAGCATGTCAACGCAGCCGGCGTAGAACGGGTTTTGAGTCGACTCAAAGCTCGTCAATACAATCAAGCCAATGAAACGGTCGGTCGTTGCAACTCACCGTTCGCTCGTATGCATGCACGTGACCAGTGATCAGCATGTCAACGCAGCCGGCGTAGAACGGGTTTTGAGTCGACTCAAAGCTCGTCAATACAATCAAGCCAATGAAACGGTCGGTCGTTGCAACTCACCGTTCGCTCGTATGCATGCACGTGACCAGTGATCAGCATGTCAACGCAGCCGGCGTAGAACGGGTTTTGAGTCGACTCAAAGCTCGTCAATACAATCAAGCCAATGAAACGGTCGGTCGTTGCAACTCACCGTTCGCTCGTATGCATGCACGTGACCAGTGATCAGCATGTCAACCCGGGCGGCGTACAGCGTCTCTTCCAGCGTCTCCCTCATAGCTTGTCCGTCTCTCTGGTGGTCGCTGTTGGAGTGATACCAGGGCTCGTGCAAGGATGCTATGAGCCAGGGTGTTTTGGTCCGATCCACGCTTGATAGGTCCTTCTAAGAAATGGAGGGTACAGAGGGATAACAGAGGGGTGACAGTGGGTATGCATGTGGTGGTTGCTGTTGGTGTGATACCAGGGCTCATGAATAATAAAATATTATAATAATAAGAATAAGAAAAAAAAAAAAAAAAAGACGCTTGTTCTCGCATTTCTGCACTCGCTAGACGCTTGTTCTCGCAATTCTGCACTCGCTAGACGCCTGTACTCGCTAGACGCTTGTTCCCGCATTTCTACACTCGCTAGACGCTTGTTCTCGCAGTTCTGCACTCGCTAGACGCTTGTTCTCGCAATTCTGCACTCGCTAGACGCTTGTTCTCGCATTTCTACAATAAAATTAATAATAATTATTACAATAGTAATAAAAAAATAATAATAAAAATAATAAAAAATAATAACAGACTGACCTGTTTGCACAGCTCATGTAGCCATCTCCTCCCCAACCACTTCCCAAGGCTCACCTGCAGCCATTGCGCTGGTCAGAGTCGGGGCTGAAGAGCGAGTACCAGGAGAGCACAATGACATGCGCCCCTCCCACCTCAAACGAGTAGTACAGGCAGCTTAGAAGGCCACCCACTAAGGGATGCGATGCTAGATGTGACTAAAGGGGCTTTGATTGAACAAAGCTCACTCACAACAACCCACCCCCTTCCCGTTTGCTCTCCCCCCAGGGCTCACCTGCAGCCAGTCAAACTGCTTGGAGTCAGGGCCGAAGGGCGAGTAGCAGGAGAGCACGATGATATGCGCCCCTCCCACTTCAAACGAATAATACAGCTTAGAAGGCGACCCGCTAGCAGCAGAAGGCATCTGCCACCGCTTCTTATACGCCCGGAACGCGCCGCCGTTTAGCAAAGCGGATCGCTTAAGAAACGTGGGCCACTCGAACCCCTTTGGGCTGATCGCGCTAAGTGCCTCGGCTTCGTGGTTTCCCGGAACGACCATCCAGGGGTGTGTGCTGGCGTCTGGTTCAACCAGGTTCTGCCACCTGTCCCACACGGATTGGAAGCCGTTGGCGTAGGAGAGATCCCCCGGGACGAGGGTGAGGGAGTGGGGCTGCTGGGAAAGACGGGTGATGGTTGTGCGGGCTGCCTTGGATAGACCAATGTCACCTGGAATGGAAGGAGGGAAAACAACGCAAGGGAGAGGAATGGGAAGGAGGAAGAGGATGAACAAACGCTGATGCCACCACCCATCAACAACAACAGCAATGCTGACTTCAACATCCCTTATCCTCCAACCATCCTAACCGCACTGCACCTGAGGTCCAGACTCTAGAGGTGGGTGGCATCACAACCCACCCAACCCCACTCACTCCCACCCACTCCAACCCACTCCCACCCCCTCCCACCCCCTCGCACCCGCTTCCCACCAACTGCCACACCAGCTCTCACCAACAACAGCGATGCTGACGTCAGCAGCAGCATCCGTGGGCGGCGTTACAAAGGACCGTTCTGGCCCCTCCCCTGCAATGCGGTAGTAGTAGGTGGTTTGGGGTTGTAGGCCCGACAGCACTGCACTGTGCAGCTGGTCCGACCTGCAAAAAAGTCGGATTGGGGGAAGGAAAGGGAGGATTGGAAGGGGGGGGGGGGGGACACTGAGGGATTGTTCCAGCACCACCTATGCAGCCTCAAAGAGCACTGCGCTGTGCAGCTGATCCGACCTGCACAGATGGTGGGATGATGGAAAGGAAGGGAGGGGAGGGAATGATGAAGGACCATTCTGCTCCCTCCCCTGCGATGCGGTAGTAGTAGGTGGTGTGGGGTTGCAGGCTCAACAGCACTGCGCTGTGCAGCTGACCCGATCTGCTCAGGTGGTGAAATGAAGAGAGGGGAAGATGGAGGGTGGAATGTGAGGGGAGAGGAGTACAAAGGACCGTTCCGGCCCTGCCCCTGGGATGTGGTAGTAGTAGGTGGTTTGGGGTTGCTGGCCTGAAAGCACTACGCTGTGCAGCTGGCCCAATTCGCACAGGTGTTCGGATGGGGGAAAGGAAAACAGGGGGAATGGGAGGAGGGAGATTACCACAGAACGGGAGGGGAGGGGAAATAGTCATTGGAGGGTGTCATGAGGGACCAGAGGTCAGTCAGTGGTGTCTTGTCTCTCTCGCAATCTAATAGCAATAGGTGGTATGTGGCTAGATGGAGTGTTGGAACGTGGAAGCAAGAAAAGGTGAATCTGGTAAGAAATGCATTGATGGAAAGGCAAAGCGTTGAGTCATACTGGAGCACGAAGAAAGAGAAGCAAGTGTGTGGGAGAGGCAAGGCAATCAGTGAAAACAAGAAAAAAAAAAAGCCCTTTTCTTTTAGTGTACTCACGAATAGGTCAGGAAGGTGTAGCTGGAAGACTTCCCCTTCACCTTGCTGGTGTACTGCCCAGAAGTTAACCCGAATTCCACCAATGATGGCGTACCACGGCGAGACGTAGACCACATGACTCTGATGCTGTTGGGACCGGCCAGGGCTATGTGCACCTGGGGAATGGGCGAGGAAGGTAGAAAAGAAAGCAGCAACGACATGAGACGTGGAAAGAGACTGATCATATCACATAAATATAATGCCTTGGCGGTCAGGTGGAGCTATGGTCACCTGATATATGGTTTAAAGGAAAGAGACATAGCAAGAGATCGATCTCATGACTCTGATGTACTTGCGGCAAGTGATACCTGGGAATGGCCGAGAGAGAGTAGGAAGAGAGTGCTGGGAGAAATAATCAAGACTCAGCACTGCGAGCTCACTCACCCATCCGTCACCCACCTGTTTTGGATTCTTTGACCCCGCCCACCAGCGGAACAGCGATCGCCTTTTCCCGATCCACTCAGGCACATCTTCCGTCTCTGATGCACCAGCAACATTGACGCCTATGCCTTTTCCGCCTAATAATTTGGGATCGGACAGGGAAATATTGTGTGTTTGGCAGCCGGTGGCAGATGCAAGCGAGCTTCGGAGGTTTGTACAGAGGGAGAGTGAAACGAGGAGGAGAAGCTGGGTGAACAGAACCAAGGACGAGGCTCGGCCCGAGCCTCGTCCGAAGGCACGGCATCTCGTTCCGCGAGCATGGTACTTGGGGCGTTGCGCTGGTGAGTGGCTGATAGGTATTGGGACTGTACAGAGGCTGCCAAGCGCCACGCGAAGCACTGAATTTGGACGCATTGTGAGAAATTCACGCGGTTCTACGGGTCTAGCTACACGCAAGAACCGGAAGAAACTAGATGCAGCGGGGTCCGCAGCTGACGCTGGTGAAGCGTAATGAGTAGTTGTTGAAAGGATATAGTGAAGCGCTTTGAACGAGAATCTCGAGAAGCTGTGGAACCAGCGATACGGTAGACGGTCGTCTTTAAATTCTTAACGTTCGTCTGGCGCCTTTGTCAAGCGAAGGGACAAGTGTGGAGGAGTTTTGGGGGTGTGGAAATCTGAGAGATAACTCAGCTGCAGCCGACTGGAATGCAGACAATGCGTGGCCTTGGTCCTCGTTTTATAGGTCATACTTTGGGTAGAAAATTCAAATAGGCTTTTGCGCGTCGCACTTGGAGTTTCAGGCTCACGGCCTTCGAAAGATCAAATCGTCGAGTATACGAAAGCGACGCGCGCTCCAATAATGGTTTTCGTGTGGGGTATAGAGAACCTAGGGACTAACGGAACAGGCGAGTATGACTCAGGGATCCTAGAGCGCAGGTGGTCTCTTGGTGAATTCGAGTGGTCACTCGCACGCGTCGCGCCTCGAGCATGGTTGATGGAGGGAGGCATAATGGAGAAATAGGGAGACCCGCCTTGGGCTCGTCTGTCCCCACCCACCGTTTTCGGTGGGGGGCTGGCGGTGGGGTTGACTGTGCGACTGTTTCGTCGATGCGAAGTTTCGCTTCGGGTGTGTTGGACGGCAATGAAAGAGGATGTGTGAGGCGAATTCGAAGTTGCGACTACGAGTAACTAAATAGGTAGACATTCGTCAATGTATCGCCAAACCATACAGTGTTTCGCTACATCCCTGACGAGGTAGGTTCAGTGCGGTGGTGTCGATGTGGATAAACACAGTTCACGATAGGGAGTGTCCGAACCGAAGTGAAACGTCGACATCCGTTTGCGGATGTCGGCGAATCCTGACTGTCGAAATCTTAGATTCGAGGGTACTTCAGACACGCCTTCGATTCGAATCGAGGTCAGTGATGTCCCTTCGGCCAATGACACCGCTTCTGCTCCTGACATGAAGCCAGGCAAGGCCCCACCAGGGATGCCATGCCACGCAGAAGCAAATTTCGAATGAAATGCAACCTAGAAATTCCCCTATTTGGAGAAATAACAGAGCTACCCACATTCTGTCGCTGCTTCAATCCAGCTGCTTTAGGAGTTCCTTCCTCCGTCACGTCAGATCAAGCTCACAATGGAGACGGCAACTGAAGTGCTTCTGGAAGAAGTTACAAGGGGAGCGATTAGATTAGCGGTTCGGTTTGACGAGATTAGGTTGGATTTAGAGGACGAAGAAAACGAGCAGAGGGAAAGGATTAATGCGCGACTGGGAAGTGTGGAGGCAGTGATGGAAGGTTTGAAGGAGAGAGTGGTCGCTTTGGAAGCAATAACTAAAGCCAGTAGAAGTAGCATTAATGAGCGGATGCTTAAGTTAGCTTGTGATACGGGTAAGCAGGAGAAGGATAAGGAAATAGCTGATCTGAAGGCACGATATTTGGAGGCAGAAGCGAAAAAGAAAAAAGAGTTGGCTGCTTTGACAGCGCGAGCATCGCAGGCAGAGACAGTTCGGAGGAATGAGATGGCTGCACTGGCAGCACGAATTTCGCAGGTAGAAGCAGAGAAGGAAAAGGAGGTCACGGCATTGAGAGCGCGATTATCCGAGGCAGAGACAGCGCTGGTACAGCAGAAGCGAGAAGTGATTCAGATTTGGGAGGTGAGAAATGCTGGTCCTGTATACGAGTTTATTTGCTCAATCACAGTACCTAACAGTTTTTTTTTTTTTAGTTTCGTTTCAGGCTATTACATTGGCTTCTTGTCAGCAAACGACCGATGCGGATATTAAGATCATACGTGCCGCGGATACTACCAAAGTGGAACTCAGTAACCTTGAACCCTTATCTGCCATTGGCTGTTATCGCCTCGCCTGCATGACATCCCTGAAGAGCCTCAGCATTTGCGAGTCTGCCAATGAAGCCGCCTTAAAATACCTTCCATCAATGCCATGGTTGGAGGAGCTGAAGTTACAATCACCCAAAGTCGACGATTCCGTTATTCTGGGAATCAGCCATTTGCCGAATCTTCATCGACTGAATTTGATTGAGACTGCAGTTACAGAAGTTGGCCTCGGCTATTTGTCATCCCTTAGCTCCCTGAAAGACCTCTTCTTCTCTCGCAGCTATAACTGCTCGTGTTCCTTTGACTGCCGCACTTTCTCCATTGCAGGACTTGAAAATCTGGGGAAGCTGACATGGCTTCAAACTTTGGATCTTGGGAATTCGTTGGTGTCAGATGGCGCACTGCCATATCTTTGGCCTTTGACGAAACTCTCTTGGCTCTGCCTCCCAGAGTACATCACTGAACAGGGACTGCAGCATCTGACATGCTTCAGGAACCTCAAGACTATCTATTTAAAATCGCCATTTGGTGAATATGGCATTGCGTGTTTGAGGGCTCTTCCCAGCCTGGAAGATGTTGGACTTGCAGATTATTGGATGGTAGACAGTGAAGCCGGCCCTTCCTGGTGTGGATGTTTTCTACTTCAAGAAATGAGATCTGGGTTTGTCCTCTTTGTTTCAGGCTGATGCTCCTGCTTCTGACTGCTAGTTTGCTATTTAATGGGCATTGCAGTGTACGACCAACTTATGGAACTGTTTTGCGTTCTGCAGAGCATGGTAATAGATGGACTTGGCTATTTACCACGTACCACATCTCAAAACAATAGTCCTCCTATCAGTACAATTTGAGCACATCCTTGATTTTTCTATTGCACAAAGGGCACTTGCCGCGCCGGTCCCTGACCTCTTGAGCACACGTGCGGCACAGCATGTGCCCACATGGCACAAACGCTGCCTTCCTCGGCCTCTCCATGCACACACAGCACACCGCCTCCCCAGGTTCCCCCTCCTCTTCTCCACTCGCCTCAAACTCCTCCCCAGCTACTGTTCCTCCTCCTATACTCTCTCCCCTACTTCTCCCTCTTACCACCCCTCCCCCACGCCTACCCCTGCTCCCTTCATCTTCCTGCTCCTCTGCTCCTCCCCTCTGTCTCTCAACCCCAACTTGCCTTCTGCTGCCAGTTACCCCACCACCCCAAGCATGAGTGTGGGTGAGAGCAGGGCTCTGGGTTCGTCTGGATGACACCTGGATTGGCGGGCCTCCCAGCACTGCTACCAGTGGCACTCCTCCTGCTCCTGCTACACTGCCTGATACAGTAGCTGATGTGCTGCGTGCTACATTAGCCCCCGCCATCGCTGCTACCACACGCGCTGATGCTGGAAGTCTCATCGAGACAGCAGGGCGAGAAGACTCAATACCACTAGAACCTGGGGCAGCAGCAGCAGGAACAGCAGCAGCAGCAGCAGCAGCTGGTAAGCAGAGTCGATGAGGAGGAGGAGCCAAAGAGAGCTTGTTCAATAGCAGCATCTATCAATGCCTGTTCGTCCCTGCTCCCCCCGCGACTCTGCTGCAACTGCTCGTACAGCTGGTGCTGCTGCTGGTGGGTCAGACTCTGCTGCTGGTTCTCCTCCCCTTCTCCTGCTTCTCCATCCTCGTTACTAGGTGTTTCGCCACGGGTCAAGAGCATGCGCTGCAGCCGAAGCAGCAGGAGCCGCTGCCGCTGCTGCTGCCGCTGCTCGTGCATCCTCAACACCACCTCCCCTCGGCTGCTGCTGCCAGCCACACCACTCCCACCACTCACACCATCACCACCAGCAGCACCGCTACTCCCCCCAGCACCACCACCACTAAAGCTGTCGCTTGAATGCAACACCCCAGCCCCCGTGTGCCCTTCTCTCCCCCTTCGAGTCAACGGGGAGCCCATGCGTGCTCCTGTGGGTACAGGCAAGGCAGTACTGACAGTGGTCATCTGGGCAGCACCTGAACTCACCACCCTGCGGAACCGAGCAGGACTTACCCTTCCCGGCGCAGCCACTCTCGCCACCTCTGCTCCCACTCGCCCCCCCTCTGCCTCCACTCTCTCTTCCTCTGCTGCCACTCTCCCATTGGCCCCCTCTCTCCCTTCCTCTGCCCGCACACTGTTCCCCCTCAATCCATTAGCCCCGTCTGGTGCCCCACCTGTTGACCACTGCCTTGCTACAGCTGCTGCAGGCGCCGCTGCCGGCGCCACTGCCGCTGCTACAGCTGTTGAGGGCACAGCGCTTGCTGCTGTGTCTGCCTCTTCGCCTCGTGCTGGGGAAAACAGAACCCAATCACTCATGGGAGACGATGCTGCTGCAGTCATTGCCCCTGCTCCTGCTGACCCTGCTTCTGCTGCTGCCTCTACTGCTGCTGCCCCAACTGCTGCTGCCCCTGCTGCTGTGGATCCTACCGCTGCTGCTGGCAACGGCACATAACCATGCTGCTGGGACGGCTCGTGCCAGTGCACAGGGGGAGAAGGGGCAAGTCCGGCAGGAGGAGCAGAAAGTGCAAAGCCATCAGAAGGGGCATAGCTGGCGTGCGGCATGGCTGCCGTTGGATGAGACACAGGCGGCAGATTGGACAGATGGGAAGGATCAAACGGATTAGTGGGAGCATAAGTGACAGGCGCAAGGCTGGGCTCAAATGGATTATAGGGTGTGGAATGCAAATGCTCCTGACCCACAGGGGGGAGGAGCTGTATGCCTACGGATTGCTGCAGTACTGTCGTTTGTAAGGCCGGCTGTAAGGCAGGCTGTAAGTACGGTTGTGAGGTTGGCTGTGTGTCATTAATGTATGGCAGCACCTGTGGCGTGCCACTGAATGATGCTTGTGGTAACACAGTAACCTGATAACCCTGTGGCTGTGGCGCATGTGCGTTCGAAAGAACGCATGGATGGAAAGCTCCTGCGGCTGTTACTGCTGCTGTGCCTGCCGCTGCTGCTTCGCCAATGGAAGAGGGACTGGGCATGGAGAGTGTTGACGGGAAAGGTGGAGGTGCGACAGGGGGAGGTGTGACAAGGGGGGGCGCGATGGGGGGAGGTGTGATAGGGGGAGGTGCGATAGGGAGAGGTGCGATAGGGGGAGATGCGATAGGTGGAGGCACGACGGGGGAAGGTGCGATGGGGGGAGGTGCGATAGAAGGTACAATGGTGTGAGGTGAAATACAGGGAGGTGCAATGGTATGAGGTGTGGTAGAGGCAGGTGCGATTGGGTGAGGTGCGATGACGGGAGGTGCGACGAAAGCAGGGTGCATGGTTGCTGCTGCAAAGAGAGGGGTGGAGAGCGGTTGCTGTGAAGCAGCCAGTGTGGCATCGGTTGGTGGGTTGGCGTGGGGTGTTGCGGCTGCTGCAAGTGCTGCCTGGCTGCTTCCAGATTCAGGTGCTTCATCAGGTGTGTGAAATTGTCTTCTTTCAGGAGCTGCATCAGGTGCTGCATCAGGTGCTGCATCCAGCCGTGAATGAGGCGTTTCCGCGGCACAAGCAGCGGCACAAGGTAGTTGGGTCCCACCCGCATCGACCTCTGAAGGAGCGATGGCTGTTGGTATGGAAGGCGCCACAACAGCATGCGCCCCTCTCTCTGCAGCACAAACCGATGGCACACCCCCTGCCATGTCAATACCCTCTGCCGGCTCTGCTACCCCGACCGCCTCTTGCTGCACCTCACAAGTTGCACCTCTGTTACTCCCTGCTGCTGCGCCCACTGCCACTGCCAAACCCACCGCTAGCCTGTCACTAGGACCACGGTCTTCCACTTCCTCAGGGCCTTCCTCGTTCCCAGCATCGTCGTCCTCCCGAGCTTCTTGCTCATTTAAAAAGCCGTCCTCTTGCAAACAGCCAGCCTCCTCCAACACGTTCTCCGATCCACTCGATTCCCCAACCTCCTCACCTTCTGCCAAACCTTCACCCGAAGCTTCAGGCTCGGCAGGTGAGCCAACCCCGTTCACAACACTGTTCACAGCACCACAGCTCACGGATTCCTCCCCTGCCCCTGCCAAACCTGCACCTCCTGATGCCTCTATCTCTGAGGCTCCTGCTGCTGCGTCCCCAGTTGACCTCGTCCCCTCCCCACCACCTCCCAACCTCTCCTGATCCCTCTCTACAACCACCTCTGAGGTCATTTCAATTCTTCCCGAACCACCACTCGCTGGTTGCCGAACCAACGGCTCCGAACCACCACTCGCCGCACTCTCATCCACTGCTCCCAAAGCGCCCCTCCTCTCTTCTGCAGTAGCCTCGTCGATGCTATCACTGAATCTGCCCTCAGGTCCTGCAATATTCTCGTCGTTTTGAGTCGACTCAAAAACAGCCCCTTGGACGCGATCACTGAATCTGCCCTCAGGTCCTGCAGGAAGATTTTCTTCCTCTTCGCCCTCCGTCCCTCCGCCCGTCCCCTCTCCCTCATTCGCCTCCAAATCACTATCACCGCTCTGCACCCCTTCCGATCGCGCCCCAACCACAGCCGCCCCTCCTCTTCTATCTCCCCCGCTTCCTCTCTGCCTGCCTTGCCTGCTCGCTAGCCCATGTACAGACACCCGACGCCGACCCAACCTGCGCTGACTCGACGCAGACTGCTGCTCACTCGGCAGAAGCTGACCTGGCACGAGATGCTGCTGCCCCAGATCCACCTCCTGCTGCTCTGGCAGCTGCTGACGTGGATGCTGCTGGCCCTGACTCAGCATACGTGGCCGCGTGTCGCGACGGGATTGGCCGGTGCGAGGGGCACGGGAGGGGGAGGAGAGGAGGGAGGGGAGGGGCGAGAACTGGTTTCTCAGGCGCTGCTGCTGCTGCTGCCAGCGCCACAGGGCTCTGCTTCTCATACCCTCTCCACTTCGTGCGCTCAAGGCATGCACAGTTGCACATTCAGCAGGTGCCCCATGCACCCGTGTAGCAGCAACAGCAACGCCCCCAGCACTGGCAGTAGGGATATCCCCATCTGAAGAAGCCTCAGTATCTGCGCCCCCTGCAGCAGCTGAGTGTTCAACTTCACCTCCCCTCTCAACATATTCCCCTTCTAGTCTCCCTCCAACCCTTCTCCCCGTTCCTCTGCCCTCTCTAGTGTGCACTCTTCTTCCCATGCACAGCTGCCATGTCTCCCCTTCTTCCTCATCCTCCTCCTCCTCATCCTCTTCCTCTTCTCTTGATTCTTCTGTCATTGCAGCTCGCACAGCTCTCCTTCCTCTTCCTCCTCCTCTTTCTCCTCCTCTTTCTCCTCCCCCTCCTGCTTCTTCCATCTCAGCTTCTCCTGCCCCGTCCACCCGCCATTCAGCCACGTCAGCACCTTCGCTCGGCCAATCACGAGGCGATGAGCGAGGAGCAGCAGGAAATCTCCCTGCCACGCGAACCCCCACCTCCTCTTCGCCATCCCCATCACCAGCATCATGCTGCCTAAAGCAGAGCGACCCACCAGTGCCAGTGCTCCTGTGTACAGGGTCCCCATGCTCCACAGGGCGCACAGGGCGCAGCACCACAGGGCACGCCACACACAGGTAAGCCGACGAGCCAGTAAGCAACCACCAGCGCCGCGGCGCCCTCCTCCCCTCGTTCCCCACCACGCGTGGTGCCCCAGACAGATGAGTGCCAGAATGTATGGCAGGCAGCCGACCACTACTGGGTACGGTCATCAGTTCGCCTTCTCTGTTCTCGCCTTCTCCCTGCTCCTGATCCTCCTCCTGATTCTCCTCCTGCTCCTCCTCCTGTATTTCCTCCTGTGATTCCTCCCGTCGTTCCTCTTGTGTCTCCAGCTGTACTCTCTCCCTCGCTCCTCCTCTCCCTCTGCCCCTTCTGGCTGCTCCTCCCCCTCTCATCCCCCTCCCTCCTCGAGACTTCTGACTGCCTCCCCCTCCCTTCTGACTGCCTCCCGCCTCCCCTCGTTGCGACGTATGCCCTCCTGCTACTGCCCCTTCTCCCTCAAGTCGCCCTGCATCTGCCTCTCCCGCTGCCCCCGCAACTACATCTGCACCTGCCCATGGGCCTGCTCCTGTTGACGTCCTTCCCCCTCCCCCCCCTCTTCCCCCTGCCGCACCCGCCCTTACCCCGACATCCATACCTCCTCCTTCAACCGCCTCTCCCCCACTTCTCACCGCCCCAACAGGCCTCAATCTCGCTCGCTGAGTCCCCACCCCCACCTCCTCCCCACCCCCTCTACCGCCCCTCAACCTCTCACTACCCCTCCTCACTCCTTGAACCCCACCCACGGTTAGCTGCCCCCCTGCTCTCCTCTCATTTCCACCTCTTGCACCCCCACTGCCTGATTGGTTCACCCCACCCAACGCCCCAGGAGCACCTCGGGAGTGGTTTCCCCCTCCCATCACCGCAGGTGCCACACACTCGTTTCGGAACAGCCCCCGCCGAGCAGCAACGCGCACGGGCGTGAGGAAGCATTGGTTGGGCGGCATGGCTGGAGGCATCTGGTGAGTGTGACTGTAACGAGAGGCTTGACGGGCTGAGCTGTGTGACAATAGCAAGGGATGGTCTGCGCGAGTAACACCAGAAGGGTTTCCCAAGCCAGTAGCGGGAGCGGGAGCAGAAGCTGCTGCTGCGGCGGCTGCTGCTGCTGCTGAGGGTAGGATCAACACTTCGTCTTCTTCTGGTTCTATCACTGGCACGATCTCGGGCGGCGGCTCAAATCTGGCTTCAAGATTCTGCTCCGGATTCGATTCAAGATTTGATTCTGCAACAGGGTCGAGCTGCGACGCCATTGGCTGGGAGTCGATCCACTGCTTCACCGCTACAGTGCGCCGGACAGCAGAGGAGGTACAAAATATAGATTGCGGCGGGGAGGTGGACGAGGAGGAAACGGAGGAGGAGGAGGGGTGTGAGAGGTGTTTCTGTGCGAGGTTGTGTGTCGAGGAGTCTAAGCTCGAAGCTGCACCAGCTCTGATAACATGCCGGCCGGGCTGGTTGCTGCTGCTCCTGCCACTGCCGCTGCCGCTCCCATTGGCATTGCCGTTGCTGTTACTGTTACCAAACCTCCTACCTGCCCCAGTTACCACCTGCCGCAGTGGTTCTTCTGCTAATGCCTCTTCTGCTCTTTCCGCTGCTGCTCTTGCTGCCGCTGCTCGTTCCGCTGCTGCTGCCACGGCTGCTGCGGCTGCTGCCGCTGCAGTCGCCGCTGCTTCTGACACGCACCCATTCGACCTCTCTGGAAAAGCATACCCCTCTTGCGGCGCCTCAAAAGACACTGCTCTGGCTGCCGCTGCCGCCGCCGCTGATGGCACATACCCTCTCGTCCTCTCTGGAAACGCATACCCTTCTGCATCAATCCCACGACTATACACACTGCAACTGCCCCTCTCGGTGCCAACGCTGGTGTCGACTATAGTCCCTGCATCCTCCAAGCTCCCACAAAAAGACAAGTCTCCAGAGAGGGACGAGAGAGACCGCCCGTCACAGGCACGCAGCTCCCTTCCGCTCCCTGTAACCACGGTGCTCATAAAACCATCACGAGAAAGACTGTCAGTTACCTCGTTATAATCACCAGCTGCTACTATACTGTTGTCCATGCAGTGGTTTGGACACGAAGGGCCAGAGAAAGGTGGGTGGGAAGATGTAGCTACGGTGTTGTCCCCTGCCCCAACTGCCCCACCCACCCCACACACCCCACTGCCCCCAACAGCCCCACCTGCGGCTTCTGCGGCCCACGCCTCCTCTTCACCAGCTGCTTCCTCCTCCCCTCTCCTTTCCCGTTCCCCTTCCTCCTCCCACTCCTCGACACCCTTTTTTTCCTCTTCCCTCTTCCCCTCCCTTTTCTCATCGCCCTCCTCCCATTCCACCTCCTCCATTCCGGCCTCTCTGTTATCTGACCCCTCTTTCCCTTCAGCCTCCTCCTCCACCTCCTCCCCACACTCACACTCACCCTCATTCCCATCCTCCTCCTCTTCCTCCTCCTCCTCCTCTCCCTCATCATCACTACCTCCCCCCTCCTCCCTCCCTCCATCCACGCCCACCCCCTCCACGACGACAGCTGACAGCAGCTGATAAGCCCGCCCCGACACGTCATCAACCAGTAACACACTCTCTCCCCCCTCCAGCGCCTCTCTCGCTTGCTCCTCCATTTCCACACTCAGCCGCAGCTCGTGACACACAACCTCCCCCTCCCTCTCTTCCTCCTCCTCCTCGTCAGACTCCTCCCCCTCTCCCGCTCCTTCCTCCTCCTCTTCCCCTTCTTCCGCCTCTACTCGCAGCTCCTCTCCTTCTCGAAGCAGAAACGCCCCTCCACTAAACAACACGCCCTCTCCTGCCTCCACCACCCCATCAACACCCTCCTCCACACCCCCCTCTCTCACAATCATCCTGCCTCTCGTCTCCCCTCTCATCTCATCTCTCATCCCCTCCCTCCTCCCACCCCTCGTCCCATCACACACTGAAGCCCGTTCCTCTTGAGTCGCCATGCCTCCCTGATCAACCACCGTCTCCGCTCCATCATACCCCGGTAGTAACCGTGCTACCACATTCCCCTCACAGGTATCCCTGGCTTCCTCCTCTTTCCAGCATTCCACCACCACTGATTCCTCCACAGCACACTCGCCCCCATTCTTATCGTCTTCCTTGTTGCCCTCCCCTGCTTCCATTCCAGGTTGCTCGAGCAAACAGCATTCTCTTTGCTCGACCAACCTTACCCCCTCATCTTCCATTCCACGCTGCCCCTTCCCTGTTCCTACCCCCTCATTCTCCCCTTCTTTCTCACTCTCATATGCTCCCCCCCTGCCTGCATTTCCTTCTCCTCCTGACGACCAACCTGCTCCGGACAATCGTTTTCCTTCCACACCACTCCCCCCCTTCAACCCCTTCCTCCTCCCCTTTGCCCCTGCCGCCCCGCGTGTACCAGCACCACGGCCGGCAACACTCACAACAGCACCCTCGAAAACCTCCCGGCTGTCTGCTCCTCCAACAGTCAACACAGGCAAATCCCCCACTCCAACACCCGAGCCCTTTCCCAGTGCATCCTCCCCAATACTTCCCCCATCCACGTCCCCGTCCCCGTCCCCATTCACAGGCACGCTACATCCTTCAATCCCCTCATCCCTCCCTTTCCCACTGCCAGTCCCTGCTCCTCCTGTCTCCCCAGCAATCACCGCTGCTTTCCTCCCCTTGGCGCCCCACCCTCTACGAGGGTTAACCCTAGCACCAGCAGCAGCAGCAGCAGCAGCGTACTCCAGCCGCTCCTCCTCTCCCTTTCCTCCCTGCAACCGCACCCCTCCCCACACCTGCAGCAGCAGCAGCACTTGCTGCTGCTATCTCCAGCTGTCGTATCCTCTCCCCCACCGTCCCTCTCACCCTGCCTTGCCCCATGCCCGCGCCTCCTCCTCTCCCCCGCCCCCCCGTCCTCCCCTCCTCTCTCTTCCGCCTCGTTTTCCCTGGGGTCATGACAACCCCCGTTGTAAGGCCTGTGTTTCCGCTGCCTATAACGAGGACAACGGTTTCCCCCGCGCTCATCTCCTCTTCTCCTTCCAAACTGTCTAAGGTACCCAGTTGTCTCTCCCCTCCATATTCCTCCCCATCTGTATCCATCTCAACCGCATCAGAACGAAGTGTAACAGCTCCAAACGTCTGCTTTCCCTTTGCCGTCCCCCGTCTCGCTTTGCTGCTGCTGTTTCCCTCGCCATTGCCGCTCCTGCTCCCCTCGCTGCAGTACATTCCGTTACTGTCACACTGCTTTGTGCCACCAAGCCCCCATGCAGATACCTCCCTATTCGACTCACCACCCACCAAAACGCCACAAGCACCGCATTCCACTCCTCTGTCCTTCGCACTCGCTTCAGCACCAGCGTCCCTGCATTTTGCACCATTATTTCCCAAGCACTCTTCCTCTTCCAAACCGCACCCATCCTCCCCTCCCCTGCTCGTGCTCGTGTCTACCTGACAGAAAGAGTTCGGCCGTCCCTGTAACGCCTGCTTCCCCTGCTGCCGCTTCTGCACCTGGCTCTTCATAGCACGGGGGGATTTACCCAAGTTTGACCCCGCATTACCCAAGTTTCCACCTGCGATTTTCCCTTTCCGTCTAGGCGACGCTCTGCCTGCGGGACCAAGAACGGACCCCGCTCTAAGCGAACCATCTCTTTTCATTTTACCGTTCGCAGCGTTACGGTTAGGGTTACCACTACTACCCAACGCGTCCGATGAGTCTGTGTCTGTGGTGGCGCCGTTGCTGTTGGCACGCCTAACAGCCTTCGCGTTCGCGTTGCCACCGGCGGCGTTGCTGCCGCTGCCTGCGCTCTTGGTGATCTTGCTTGTCTTACCGCCTTTCCGAAGCGGTCCTGCTGCTCCTGCGGTTTTTACTCCGGTCTTCGACTGTTCGAAGAGAGACCTAAGCTGACGTACGCTCACGTTAGACGACAAGCCGGGACTGCTTGGGCGGCGAGGGCTGGCGCGTAGCGCAGCGAGATCCTGTGGTTGCGGCCCTGTGATTCGCTCCGTGTGCTGCCGTAGCTGCTCGTCAGTCAGCACTGCCGGTTCCCCTGCCCCTGACCGAACCCCTGACCCCGCTAGCCGACCAGACACAACCTTTTCGGGTTCTGCCGCTTCGGACAGCTCCTCCTCTCCCTGCGGATCGTTCGCTCGCTCCCTATGCGGCCCTATCTGCTCGGAAGTCAGCACTGAAGCTTGCTCTGCCTTCGGCCGAACTCCTGACGCTAGCCGGCCAGACACTGCCTTTTCTCGTTCTGCTTCACACGGCTCTAACTCTCCCTGCGGATCGTTCGCTCGCTCCCTACGCGGCCCTATCTGCGCTTCAGTCAGCAAGGAAGCTTCCTCTGCCGGCCGAACCTCTGACGCCGGCCGGCCAGACACTACCTTTTCTCGTTCTGCCCTAGACTGCTCCTCCTCTCCCTGCTGCTCGTGCGTTCGTTCCTTCGCCTTCCCCTTGTCCTGCGGTTTCCGTTTCGCGGAAGAAGAGCGAGGGCGGGTAAGCTTCTTTTTTTCCGCCACAACCGCCTGAGCCGTTTCGCGTCCCTGATCAGACGACTTTCTAGGCGGCTCGAGAGTCGTTTCCCGAGCCTGGTCAGACTCCGGTACCGTCTCAGAATCCGTCACCTGCTGGGATTCCGGTATTTGGTTAGGAAGTATGGCTCCTATCCACTCGTCCATCGCAGAACTTTCGCATTGCCTTTTGGCAGTTCGGCTCACATGCACCTAAACTACATGATTATATCGGTGGTTGTTTGCGAGGCGCCCATTATGTGAATCGGGGTTCTGGCGGTTATGTTTGGGGCAGGCCCCACCGAAAGCTGCCTCAATCTCGCGAATGATGAAGTGTACAGCGTGGTTACACATTTCGTAACAAAGCCAGAAAGGTGGTTGATCACGTCCAGACATCTGGAGCCGTAGGTTCAAGTCGCATGCCTATGCGGGCCACGTCGTGAGTTCGTGGGCTGGGCAGGCACGCACAACCAGTTTGGCATGACAAAAAGGTTCGCGATCCCAGGGTGCTGCCACACCGAACACCATTCGCAAAGGTCGCACATGTTTTCGCGGAAGTGTTGGCGCTCGTTCTCCGTTTCGCAGCTGTTACTCAATCTGAACAGATGTACAACGCATCCAGTTGTCGGGACACGGAGTCAGGACGCGTCAACTCCTGCAAATTTCGGCGATCGATCCTGCGCAGGATCGAATTTTACCTGGGTTAGAGGAGGTTCTTTTGAAACTTGGAAACAAATGCGGGATTTCAGTGCGGTGGCCGATCGATTTTGCAGGATCGATGGCCGATTTTAGCAGGAGTTGACGCGTCCTCAGTTTCATTTGGTTCAAAGCGAAGGGCCCGTATTGGGCATGCTTGTTACCAATCAGATGCTGTGACCTAAATTTTCATTCTCCAGCAACAAGAGTCTTCATTCCAACGTCAGTCCCCCCTGTATGCCATAATTTGCTCATCATCTGGAAAGGCGGAGATATAAAGGGCGAAGAGAGCGGGAGTGTTCTACGGAGGCCTGAGTGCGCTCCGACCAGAGTGAGATGAGCTGTTTCAGAGGCCAGGAGGGCCGCAGTGGGAGCGAGTGACAAATGGTCGTCCGGGAGCATCACCTACGCAATCAGCGGGTAATTCGGAAGGATTGCAGAAAGGGGAGGAAGAGAATAAGCCTTTCAAAGAGGAGTGTTGTACTGTAGTGGGAGTGTTGTCCGAAGGGCACTTTGTTACTAGGCAAGCGACGAGTAATGAAAGCATTGAAGGAAAGGGGGGAGACGAGGGAGCATTTTCAAAGGATTACTATGGAAAGGAGAGGTGTGGAGATTGTCGGCAGCAGGCGATGTAGAAACATTGGGAATCGACTTTGGATACGTTCAAAGGTCGTCTACTGTGGAAATGTGTCAACAGTTGACTCAGCAACAGGGCACGCAGGGCCATTGGGAGTCGACTGTAATGATGGTGAAAGGGAAGGAGAAAGGGGGGTTGAGCTGACGAAGCAAGGGGTCCTGGTGGGGCAAGGGAAGGGTTTCGCAGTATGGTGGAGATGCAGACGATCAGCATTTACATGGCAAGATGAACAGTGGTGCAATCAGTGAGTACTGTCAGCAGAGTAGGCAACGAAAAAAGGACAAAGGGCTGTTTGTATTCACATGCCAAGCCTGTAGCTTTGAGTAAAGGTTCTGCCGAAGCAGAGGAGTTGGGAAGCTGGACAGGCAGAGGAATGGGACGGAGAAGATGAGCTGTTTGGAAGAGGACGACTCTGGGCATAGCTGCTAGCAGTTGGTGTAGCGGTTGCACGAAGGGCAGAAACGGTTGCTACACCTATAAGCGTGCCACTTGCAAGATGTCTCAAAAGAAGGTCCCTTAAAAACAGAGATGGAAGACCTTTGGGATTTAGCAAGGGTTAATGGAGAGTGAATTGAGTTCGACGGAGATCTGTGAGGCAGCTTACTATGAGGCTCAAGGCATGGCTGGGAGTTTGAGGGCCAGATCACTTGCTGCAAAGCTGGTGGAAGAGGGGAAGATCAGATGTGAAGCAGCGTGATTGGGTGTGGCAGGGACCCTCGTGGGTGTGGCAGGGAACCACGTGGGTATGGCAGGGAACCACGTGGGTATGGCAGGGAACCACGTGGGTATGGCAGGGAACCACATGGGTCTGGCAGGGAATCACGTGGGTGCGGGAGGGGGCGGAGGAGCGGGTGGGGCGAGCAGCGGCGGCGGGCGGCCGATTTCGCCGGATCGCGAAAGCATGTCGTCAACGTCGTCGTCCGTGCGACGGTACCATCCGAAACACGGAGACGACGATATCGGGTACGAAGACGGGGAGAGGCGGCCCCGGCGCAGGGCGGTCGGGGACGACGATGATATGGGCAGGCGCGGGGGGAGCATGCGCGAGCGGGGGGATGGCGGGTTTGAACACACTCCCCGCACGCCCCCCCCGCGCATGCGCTCAAGATACGCGGATGAGGGCGGGCCAATGCGGTCTCCGCTTAGGCGGAGGCCGCTGGGGGAAAGAGATCCGCACCGCCCGCCGTCCCGCCAGAGCTCTCACGCCTCGGATGCGGGGGACCCCGCCTCCGCGCTCTTCCCGTGCCCGCCCTCGCGGAGCAGCGGAGCGGGAGGGGAAATGCCCGCGCCCAGCCCCTCGGGAAGGCTGCGAAGCGCAGCGAGCAGGCGGGGTGCGGCGGAACACGGGGAAGCGGGGGCGCGCCCGCGGACGCCGACGGGGATGGAGATGGCGGGGCGGATGGGGTTTGCGGGGGAGGGGCTTAGCCGCCCGAAAACGGCGGATGTGCATGGGCGGAGGGCGGGGGTCCCCCGGTCCGCGTCGACCACTGAGGGAACTCCGCTGGCGGGCATGCTTTCCAAGGAGCGGGGGGAAAAGGGGGTTCCCCGCTCCGCGTCCGAATTGGTGGATGAGGAGGAGGAGGGGGGGGGGGGTATGGGGGCCACAGGGGGGCGCGGTACAGTGGCGCAATGCGGTCGAGAACGGTCGCGGGACCGGGGGAATACGATGACGAGGAGGAGGCGGAGGAGGAGGAGGAGCTGCGCGCAATGGAGGAGAAGGAGCGCAGGCGCAGGCGCGCGGAACGCGCGCGCAGGATGCGCGAGGACGTCCCCGAGGGGAGCCAAATGGAGGGCGAGGATGCGTTTGACGAGGATTTCGACGATGAGGATGGCGGATACGGGCGGATGGGGACCGGGGGCCGGGGGGAGAGGGAGCCGCTTAGAGGGTATAGGCGGCGGGAGGAGGATATCATGAGGGAAGAGCACAGGCGATTAGCTTTGGAGTTGGAGAGAGAGCGAGAGGAGAGGCGGAAGCTTGCAGAGGAGCTGAAACTGCTTGAGAGGGAGACGAAGGAGAGGGAGGAGAGGAGGCGGATGGAGAAGGAACGCAGGCGCGCGGAAAAGGAGAAGCTAGTGGCGGAAGTGGCAGCGCTGCAGCTGCCCGCGGGGGCGGACGCGGAGGACGGGGGGACGGGGGAGGGGAGGCGGACTCCGCGCATGGGCGGGGGGATGCTTTCCCCCTTTGGCGGAAGGCAGAAAACGCCTGAGCGGGAGCGGAGAGGGGGGAATCGGCCAATGACACCTGAGAGGAGACCTGTAACGCCTGAGGGTATGCAGGCTAGACTGACCAGAAAAAATCGGGAGGTGATTCGGGCAGCCCGAAAAGAAGCAGCGGCAGGCGGGCAGGCGGAAAAGGCTGGGGATGGGGGGCAGGCGGCGCTGCAGCAGGTGCTGGTGAACATCCTGAAGCGGCCTTTTGCGGATGTCAGGGAGTCTTATAAGGTGGATAAGAGCGAGCTGGGGCGGGGCAGGTTCGGAGTGATCCGAGCCTGTGTGGATCGGGTGACAGGGGAGAGGCTTGCGTGCAAGACGATCAGCAAAGGCATGCTGCAGGTACGACGAGGGTGCAAGTTGTAAGTAGTAAGGGATGCTGCAGGTACGAGGGTGCAAGTTGCAAGAGGTGCTCGCTCTTTTTTCATCGTTTTGATGCTCGCTCCAGTGCCAGCAGGAGGTGACTTTTGAGTCGACTCAAAAGTCTATTTCGTCGTCTTGATACTTGCTCCAGTGCCAGCAGGAGGACATAGAGGCCGCACAGAGGGAAGTGGCGGCGGTAATGGCCAGAGCATGAATGTTGATCCCCCTTCTTCATCCCCGATTCTTTGTTTCATTTCATGGCTACTGCAGTGCCAGCAAGACATAGAGGACGTGCGCAGGGAGGTGGCGGTGATGGAGATGCTACAGGGCCACCCAGACGTGGTCAACCTCCGGAGCACATTCGAGGATGCACAGGTGGGCAAGGGTTGTGGTCATGGACGCAACTGGTAAAGAAGCACACAAGAGGTTCAACGTGCAAGCGCATGCGGCATGCTGCAGGGCCACCCAGACGTGGTCAACCTCCGGAGCACATTCGAGGATGCACAGGTGGGCAAGGGTTGTGGTCATGGACGCAACTGGTAAAGAAGCACACAAGAGGTTCAACGTGCAAGCGCATGCGGCATGCTGCAGGGCCACCCAGACGTGGTCAACCTCCGGAGCACCTTCGAGGATGCAGAGGTGCGTGGGAAATGTGTGTTCATTGACCGACAAAAGAGCACACACAGCTTCAACACACGCACACATGCATGGTGTAGGGCAACCTGGACGTGGTCAAGCTGAGGAGCACCTTTGTGGATGTACAGGTGTGGGCAGGTTGGTGATTGTAATGTTCGTCAAAAGTACACACAACACACTGAAGACGCGCAGATATTGCAGACCCGAGCATGCTCACTCCTGACGACAACCCTTGATTCGCATGCACCTCTTCATTGCCTCCTCTTCTTTTTCTTATGACCTCCCGCTCCCCCTTACCCAACCGGGGAGGATGAGAAGTAGGTACCCAGGGATAGTTATCAGAGGTTTTACAGGTAGGTTAGTCGTAGAGCTTACCTTATGTACGCCTACTAGACACAAGATTGGGGTTAGGATGAGGGATAGGGATCAAGGATAAGGTGAGGGAGAGGGGAAATTGGAAGCAGCTGCACCAGTCAGCAAGGAGAGGGAAGAGGAGTGACGGTATTGGTGGCGAGGGAAGGGGAGTGAACAGCGTCAGCGCCTCCTTACGACGCTTTTCGCTCTCCCCTTCCCTCGCCCCTCCAGCCCCGTCACTCCTGTTCCCTCTCTTTGCTGGTTGGTGCAGCTGCTTGCAACTCCTCCTCTCCCTCACTCTATTCCCAATCCCTCTCCTCTCCCTCTTCCTATTCCCCTCCCTCTCGAGTGGTGCTGTCTGCTGCTTCCATTGGGTGCTGTGCACGGTGATGGGCGTTCTTTGAGGCGCCTAAAAAATTACCACAAAAGGCACCCAAAAAATTGCACGGTGATGGGGGTGCTGCAGCGCAGCACCACCACGACCCAGCTGGTCATGCACCTCGACTCAAAGCCACCTCAAGGCCCAAACTCAAGCTCGAACCTCCTCCTCTCTCGCACCCCACCTCCCTCTTGTCGCCCCCGTCAGGACGTGCATCTGGTGAGCTGTAAGGAGCGAGCTGTTTGACCGCATCAAGGCCAAGGGCAAGTTAGCGAGCCGGAGGGGGAGCCTTTCCTCTGTATCTCCATCTCCTCACTCCTCTCCTTCCCCTTCCCCGCGCCCCCCTCCCCTCCTCCCCTCCACCCCTCAGGACGTGCATCTGGTGATGGAGCTGTGTGAGGGCGGGGAGCTGTTTGACCGCATTAAAGCCAAGGGCAAGTTCAGCGAGGCGGAGGGAGCACGGGTGCTGCGCACGGTGATGGGCGTGCTGCAGCACTGCCACGACCTGGGGGTCATGCACCGCGACTTAAAGCCCGAGAACATCCTGCTCAACAGCAAGGAGTCGGACACGGACCTGAAGGTCATCGACTTTGGCGTTGCTACTTTCTTCCAACGAGGTGAGGGCGTGTGTGGGAGTGAGTGGGTGTATGTGTGTGGGAGTGAGTGGGTGTATGTGTGTGTGGATGTTGAGGGTCATGCATGATGTGACTTTTGAGTCGATTCAAAAGTCACCATGTTGAGGGTCATGCATGATGCACCCAAGGTTTGAAAAGACAACCGTTTTTTTTAACCTTGGATGCACCCCCTCAAATTATTCTTCTTAACAGCAAGGAGTCAGACACGTACCTGAAAGTGATTGACTATGGCATTGCTACCTTCTTTCAACGAGGTGAAGGGGTGTGCGGGAGTGGATGTGAGTGTGCGAGTGAGTGTGTGTATGTTGATCTGAGAACATCTTGCTCAACAGCAAGGAGTCGGACACGGACCTCAAAGTGATTGACTTTCGCGTTGCCACATCCTTTCAACAAGGTGTGTGTGTGTGTGTGTGTGTGTGTGTGTGGCGTGGGTGTGAGTGGGTGCGGGTGGAGCGGGTGCGGGTGTGAGCGTGTGAGTGAGCGTGAGTGTGCGAGTGTATGAGTGTGGGGGTTGCCACCTTTTTCCAACGAGGTGTAGTGTATACAGGCTGGTGGAGCAACCACCACCTTTGGCAACTTAAAGCCTGAAAACATCCCCCTAAGCTGCAAAGAGCCCAGTCATTGATGGACCTGAGAGTGACACATGCCCCGTCATTGGAGAGAGCAGGCGAAGCCCCGTCAATTGCATGCGACCTTGGCTTCGCCTACTCTTTTCAATGAGATATGAGCAACACATTGCAGGGACCACTTTTGAGGCGCCTCAAAAGGCAACACAATGCAGGGACCCGCCTCATCTCTCCTTGTCTCCCTTCACCTACGCATCCCTGCTTTGAGTCGACTCAAAACATCCCTGCTTCTTTCCCCCACCACCACGACTCCAGGCAAGCCGTGCTCGGACATGGCGGGGGGCAGCCCATACTACGTCGCGCCACAAGTGCTCGCCGAAAAATACGGCCCTGGAGCCGACATCTGGAGCGCGGGGGTGGTGCTCTACATGCTGCTGTGCGGTCTGCCTCCCTTCTGGGGCATGTGTAACATCGTGAGGCTCTCCTCTCGTCCCCAGAAGGGAGGCTTTCCCCTCGTCCCCTCCCTTCCTCCCTGCCCTCACCCCGCCACCCCACCCCATCCCCACCCCCCACCCCCCTCCTTTCTCCAGGCAAGCCGTGCACGGACATGGCAGGCAGCCCCTACTACCTCGCGCCAGGGGTCCCAGCAGAGAAGTACGGCCCGGAGGCCGACATCTGGAGCGCAGGGGTGGTGCTCTACATCGTGCTGTGTGGCCTGCCCATCCTCCTTCCCCTCGTTCCCCTCTCCCCCATTCCCCAGGCAAGCCGTGCACGGACATGGCGGGCAGCCCATACTACCTCGCTCCAGAGGTGCTTGAAAAGTACGGGCCAGTGGCGGACATCTGGAGTGCGGGGGTGGTGCTCTACATCCTGCTGTGCGGCCTGCCCATCCTCCTTCCCCTCCCTCCCCCTCTCCCCATCCCCCAGGCAAGCCGTGCACGGAAATGGCTGGCAGCCCCTACTATCTCGCTCCGGAGGTTTTGGCCGAAAAATACGGCCCGGAAGCTGATATTTGGAGCGCGGGAGTGGTGCTGTACATCCTGCTGTGCGGCCTGCCGCCCTTCTGGGGCACCACCAACGAGGCCATCTTTGAAGCCATCAAAGAGGCCACGCTCAACCTCGTTCGCCCGCCCTGGCCTAGCATCTCGGAGGAGGCAAAGGACCTTGTGCGCCAGATGCTCAACCGGAACCCGAAGAAGCGCATTACGATTGAAGAGATTCTAGGTGAGTTTGCTTTCTAGGTGGCTGATTTCAACCTCGTTCGTCCGCCCAGGCCTAGTATCTTGAAGGAGGCTAAGGACCTTGTGCGCCAGATGCTCAACTGGAACCCGGAAAACCGGATCACGATTGAAGAGATTCTGGGTAAGTTTGGTTACTGTCACCGGAACCTTGTTATCGAAACTTAGTGGTGCTGGTTTTGTTGCTAAGGTTTGTTTTTCCGTCACTCCAGCAGCCCTCTTAATGTTGTGCTTTCATGTTTGTCTACATCTTTCTCTCCCTGCCCGATTTTCCAGAGCATCCCTGGATTGTGAAGAATGCAGGCCCACCATAACAGTTGCTTGTGCTAAGCTTTCAATAATGAAAACCGTGAATCTAGATCCGTTACTGGCTTAGCACTGATGAGGGGTGGTAGTACCGCTTTGGCTTGTTGTGGTGGTTTTTGTCCTTAGACGTGCAAAAAAGGGCCGCTCACTAGTCTCTAGTTAGCCTTGGGCATCTGGGATCCGTTTTTAGGTAACTGGTTTCTACTGGTGCAACACTTGCTCAAACTTCGAGGCGTTTCTCTGAAAGCGAATGTGCTTCCAGGGGGCACAAATGTCGGCGAATGATGATTGGCCAGGGAGTGTATCATGCTGCTCTCCTTGTCGCACTTTCTGCTGAGCTGAACCAACACACAGCAGCGCGATTTGCTTGCTTGCCTGCTCCCGTGAATGGTCTGACTGCTGCACCTTTTCCTAACGAAATGGCAATCCACGCATTCGTGCCCTTCTGGTTTGTGCCGCCATTGAAGGTCGCCGTTCATCACCGCCGATGTTTCTTTCTTTCCAACAGGTGTTGCCGTGCCGGCACTCCACCCTCCTTCAACAGGAAGCCAGCGTAACCTCACCATTTCACGCAGTTCAAGAACCGCGCCGCTTCCGCATCAAGATTTTCCCCTCGTGTGCCTCTTCCTTCCACGAAATTCAGTGTACACCTGCATGCTACCACTGCTTCTTGAGCTCGACTGTCTAATCAATTCAGTCTTTGACCTCCGCCAGTAGACTGGCGGCATGCACGAATGAGTCATTGCGTAGGCAGTCTTCGAAGCGCGACAGGAAACATAAGGTAGCGAACATGGTAAAATCGTAATTTGTGAGACCGTGATGTCTCCCCTCTTTTGTGTTCATGCGCTGGAGCGTTCAGTCCTTCAAATCTCAGGCTCTGTTAGAGTGAAGTAGAGGCATTCAACCTCGAACTCCTAGCTTCGCGGTTGGAGATTTCTTTCCGAAAGAAAAAGTACCAAGTACAGCGGCAATCAAGTACCAAGTACCAACCGCTACAAGAAGTTACAAAAGGTGTACAGCGACTTCATCGTGCTCACCTGCGACGGCCTCAACGGCGAAAAATACACGCTGACCTTCATCGACGCACACTCACGCTACGTTTGGATAGCCAGCGTCGACGCTCGCTCCAAGGCCCCATAAGTTTTCCGCATCTGGCTCGCACACGCACAGCGGCAACCGGGGAGAAAGCTGAAAATCTGGCAGAGTGATGGCGCCAAAGAGTTTCGAAGCCACGAACTGGAGAGTGTTCTCACCGAGAAAGGAATCAGGCATGAGATTTCTCTCCCCTACGCTCACCAGCAGCAAGGCGTCGCAGAAAGGGTCAACCGCACCCTCATGACAAAAGTGCGCGCCCTCATGAACCAGTCCGGCCTGCCCAAGAAATTCTGGCCCTACGCCATGAATCACGCAGTGCGCCTGCACAACCTCCTCTCCACCACAGCCAACAGGGACAACCTTTCCCCACACATGAAGTGGACTGGCTCAAGGGGAGACCCCTCCATGCTGAGGGTTTGGGGGTGAATGGTACAGTACCGGTCGACCTCCGCAACAATCGGCAAGTTCGCCCAACGAGCACGCTGGGGAAACCATCTAGGACTCAGCAACGAGCACAAGGGTTGGCTCATTCTCGACATTGACAGCAAGGAGATTGTTCCCGCGCGTGATGTTCTCTTCTACGAACGGTTCACCTTGAAGCAGTGGATCGAGGACGAACGGCGCAACGAAGCTCGCGGCTACGTCAACAACGGCCGTAGCTTTGCATCCCTAGAGGATGCAGCAGAGCAGCAGCACTTGACCGCGACGACACCGACGATCATCCCGGTGTTCCGCCTCGCCCGCGCACGGACGACGACGACGATGATAGTGATGACGCGCCCGCGCCCGGACCATCCCGCCGCCAAGCCAAACCAAGCACATCCTCACCTGGACACGAGAGCGACGATGACGACGTGGTGGAAGTCCCCACCACCGACACCGCGGACAACACGAATGTGTCTGGTCTGCAACTTCTCGGCCTTCACACCTCGGTTTCTACCCTCGCCCGCGCCGTCGAACCCAAGAACCCGCGCCAGGTCTTGACCGGCCCTCACGCTAAAGAATGGCGTGCAGCAATGGATGCAGAACTCAAGGCGCTGGAGTCTCGTGACACCTGGGTTCTCGTCGATCGTGCAGCAGTGAAGGGGAGAAGGGTGCTAAGCGGAAAATGGGTATTTCGTCTCAAGACTAACGCTGACGGAACCATCGAGCGCTTCAAGGCACGATGGGTCGTACGCGGATACGACCAGCGCCACGGCATCGACTTCGATCAGACCTTTGCTCCCGTCAGCCGCCACACATCGGTCAGGATTCTACTCGCCATAGCCGCCGCTAAGCATCTGCCACTGCGACAGATCGACGTAAAGAACGCGTTCTTATACGCGTTGGTGGACGCAACCATCTTCGTGGAGCAACCACACACTTACGGAGAAGGAGATCCAAGGGTGTGCCAGCTAAAGAAATCCCTCTACGGGATCAAGCAGGCGCCTCGACTCTGGCAGTAGCACCTACACAAAATCTTGCTCGAGATCGGTTTCAGGCAGCTGCCGCACGACCCGGGGATGTACCGCCTTCACTTTAGCAGGAACTACATCATCCTCACCGTCTACGTCGACGACCTGCTGTACACTGGCACCTGCAGCAAGCTTCTTATCAGTTCGAGGAGAACCTGGCGAAGCGCGTAGACATCACCATCAACCATAACGTCACTCAGTTTCTGGGCCTGAACATCACCTACGCGCCAGAAGCAATCCATCTGTCAGCCTCTAAGTACGCAGAGCAGCTGGGGGAACGTTTCAGCATCTCACCCGCACCACTCTCAACTCCCTATCGCAGCCCCAGCTCCAACTACAAACCGGACAACAAACCCCTGTCCCCCGCATGACTTCAACTATACCAGCAGCAACTGGGTTGTCTGCTGTTCGCTTCTGTCACATGCCGACCCGACCTTTCGTACATCGCCAGCCAACTGGCACAATACTCTCGCAAGCCAGTAGTCGAGAACCAGCTGGACCTGGAACGCGCCCTGCAGTACTTCATCTCCACGCCTGACATCGGGCTCTCCTACTCCACGCTGGCAACAACCTCCTTCAACCTCAACGGCTACGTGGATGCAGATCACGCCGCTGACCCTGCGAATCGACGGTCCCGAACCGGCTTCCTCTTTTTCCGCCTGGAGCCTACTGGCCCAATCTCCTGGAACTCGCAGAAGCAGGAACTTGTTGCCCTGTCATCGGCCGAAGCAGAATACATCGCCGCGACAGCAGCAGTTTGCGAAAGCCTGTACCTGCAGGAGCTGCTACAGGAGGCGAAAATTCCAACTTCGCCCACCTTTCGCCTTCACTGCGACAACCAGAGCGCCATCAAGATCGCGAATAAGCCAGGGTTCGTGAACCGCACGAAGCACATCGCGTTGCGATACTTCTTCGTCAAGGACGAAATCGACCAGGGCAAGGTTGACCTCGCGTACTGCCCGACAACTGAAATGGCAGACGACTTCCTCACCAAGCGTCTGCCACGTCAGCAGTTCAAACACTGCTCCGACCTCACCGGAGTGGTCAAGCGAGTCAGCACCCTATGCATCCAGGAATGAAGGGGAGTGTTATGATACGAAGTTTTATGAGAAGGCATTCCTGTATGCTACAGGAGCCGACTCTACCGAGTATGAAGTCGAGGAGTCAGAAGAATCGAAGCGACACAGCAACCGTCTGACCAAGACCGATGCGGGAAGAAGCATTTGAAATGAAAAGAGCGGGAACAGGTTTTGAAACCGATTCCCGCGCCGCACGGTTTGAATTTCGCTGCAATAAGGGAATGTAACCCTTAGAGTACATGGCTAGTCTAGGTCGTTTCGCATTCCTTTGTATTTCTATATAAACCCTATGTATGCATGCAATTATGAATCTCAGTCATTTACATTCACTCTGACCTGAGTTCAATACTTCCGCTGCAACACTACTTGCGATCAACCCTGAACGATCCTCTTCGCTAAAGTCCCACCTCAGATTGTAACATTCTACTTTGGAGACGTGTCAACAGTTGACTCAGCTTCAGGGCACGAAGGAGAAGGAGCCATTAAAAGTCGACTGTAATGGAGGTGCAAGGGAAGGAGAAGGGGAGGGGGCAGTGAGTTGGTGAAGCAAGGGGTCCTGGCGGGGCAAGGAAAGGGTTTCGCATGGGGTATGGTGGAGATGCAGATGACCAGTGCAAGATGAACAGTGCAATGACCAGTTCTGTCAGCAAGCACCATACCCCATGCGAAACCCTTTCAGCACTGGCAATGACCAGTGCTGTCAGCAAGCACTTCAGGCAATAATATACGGGCACATGGATTTCCCTATTCAGATGCCCCGCCTGTAGCTTCGGGTGAAGGCTTTGGCCGAAGCTGGGAAGATTGGGAAGCTGGAAAGACAGAGGGATGGGCTGGAGGAGATGGGCTGTTGATAGAGGATGACTTGGGCCATATCTGCAGGCTAGCAGTTGGCGTAGCAGTTGTAGAAGGGCAGAAGTGGGTCGCAATATATGCGTGCCACTTGCGAGATGCCTCAACAGACAGGCATGTGAACTCCAAAGAGACGTGTGAGTCAGCCGGCTTCTCAAAACCAGCAGGGGATATGGAGAGTGAAGTGTTTTATAATAGACGTGCGAAGCAGCTAGTGAGGCTCCTGGAACACTGCCATGCTGCCTTCAGAAGCCACCAGTCAGCCTATCCCGTGTGGCTGCTTCTGTTAACGCATCGGCAGCTGTTCCTTCTGCTGATAGGCCACTGGCAGCAGCTGTAGAGAGACCTTTGACTGCTGCAGGTATTGCTCTCAAAGTGCCCCCACAATGCCCCACTCAGTGTGTGTGAGCCTCTCACATCCACTGCCAAGTTTCCCCTTCACCTGTCGAATCACACATGCCGCCATCCGAAGCCCATACATTCCCGATGTTGCCTGCAGGCAATGAGTTGGAACCTCCTCCAATCGCACCT